CTGCTTGTCATCATCACATTCATCGTATTGTTGGGGCTTTGGCTTGAGAGGAACTGAGCCCCCTCCATACCGATTCTGGCAGCACTTGAAAAGGTGCGACTATTGAGCTCCAGCGGCTGTGCCATGGAACTGTGACGATGAGCCTCCAGTTCCTGTGTGATCGCTCCCTTTTCCTCGCTTCGGAGGCCAACCAGCTGGCGGCTGAAAGTTGGCTCCGCAATGCTTGCACTGGCGAACGCCAGTGTCGAGATATACCCAACTGCGCGGGCAATTCTGGCAAGCCACCCATCGCCTCGGAGCGCCGCTGACCATTGCTGCTGGTGGCTGGATGGAAAGTGAATCGCGAGTGATGTGCCCCCACGGCAGCAGGTCGCAGCTCGAGGGAAGGGAAAGACAGACGCCCCCCCTGGCCTGGGCGCGGCCTCCTGCGGGGGCCGTCAAAGAAATTGGTCTCTGCACCACCTCGAGGAAATGGTTTACTTGAGTTAGAATGGCTTGAGCCAAAATAGCCGCGGACGGGGAGAGCCCGACGGGGGGCCCAAGTGCGGCGCGCAATTGCGCGCCGCACTCAGGGGGCCGTTTGGGGCTTCGGGGCCGCGCCCCGAGGCGGCCCCGAGACGGGCCCAATATGGCCCCGAGACGGGCCCGAAACGCGCGGCCCGAAGGAGTCCGACGACCCCCCCCCCCCCAGGGGGGTCTCGAAGGGGTCCGTGGACTCTCGCAGAGGGGGGGGGGGGGGCTTGTATTCCTCCGGGCTTTTTTTTGCTTGGCTCGTCTTGGAACCGCGTTGGGGCCAGCTTGGGCCCGTCTCGGGACCCTCTTGGGCACTTCTTGGGGGTGGGCTTCTTGGAGCTTTCTCGCGCCCCTCTTGGAGCCCCCGAGGGGCCCTGTCAAAATTTTGGGAGCATGAGAGAAGCGCATTGGGCATCCGAAATCCGATGCTCGCACATGGTGTCTCTAACGCCTTTGTGTCTGGGGCTGTCGCGTTATGGGTCCCACGGTACCCTGGGGAATCGTGTTGGAGACCGCGGGGGATCTCGAGGCAGCCCGTAGGAAGCCTGAGGAACCTTATCGGACGCCGATTAGAATATTGAAACACCGTCAGGAATCGAGGGGAGACCCGACGAACCCCCAGACAACATTAACATCGCCCCAAATAGTTGCCAGAGTTCGCGCAGCAATCGCATGGGAATCCTGAGGAGTCCTGTAGGAACCAGAAGGGGTCCGATAGGAATCCTGCAGGAAGCCCCCGCAAGCCGAGGACATCCGATTGGAACCCTTCACGAAGCCAAAAGAATCGCATGGGCGCCCGAAGGGAGGTTCAATAACCCAGCAAAACAACAGGGATTTGCATCAATCCTGTCGGAACCCCGCACGATTCTCGCGGAACTCCCAGGAGCCCGAAAGACAACGAAGGAACCCAGAGGAATCTGGAGAAGTTGAAGGAATCCCAAGAGATCCCAAGGAGGAGTCCGAAATAATCTTCTCGAACCTCGCGGAACCCAACATCTGTTTAAATAATCCGAGGGGCTCCTGCGGAGTCTTTAGGGATCCTTTTCTGGGTTTAGGGAAACTTAACCTCCAACGAATCTCCCAACATAATCCGAAGGAATCACGCGGAATTCCCAGCCCAACGGAAGCTTCCGCAACCTCGCGGGATCCAGAAAAATCTTCGGGCGCCTTGAGGAATCCAAAGGAATCCCCAGGACACCAGCGGAGCCTATGGGCACCGTGAGGAATTTCAAGGTTCCTTCTAGGATCCTGCGAGTCCTAGCAACATCACGAAGGAAACTTGAGGAACCCGAAACGGGGATCGAATGGGAAGCCTCAGCGATCCCGAGCAGTCCTAAAGAGCTTTCTGGGAATCTTCGGGGATCCAAATGTGTTTTCTTCGAATCATGTAGGAATCTTAAGGGGCCCTCGGAAATCTGGAAGTCATCGGAGTTCCAAGGAATCGTACAGGAATCTTCTCGAAGCCCCAAGGACGCCCACATCGCGCGTTGTGGGTCTTCAGGAATCGTCAGGGTTCCTAGAAAAAAGCTAGATGGATCACGCGGAATCCGTTATTGGAGCCCGAAAGAATCTTAAGTGATCCGAACGTGGAATCCAAAGTACTGTTGCGGAATCGTCAAGAACCCCAGGGAGTCTGAAGGAATCCTCAGGAACCCAGACCCCTGAATACTACGCAGGATGTTTTACGCAATCCTGCGGAATCCAACGGAAGCTCACAGAGCCATAAGGAACCTTAGTGACGTCGGAGGCCCTTGGGGCTCGCGTCTTCGGCCTTGGGGATTCGCGACAGAAGCCCTTGCATCGACCCCGAGTCGACGAAACGTTCCCGACATCAGTGGGGCCTTCGTTTCCGCATGTTCCGCGCGGTAGTCCTTGCAATCTCTGCGCGTCGCCTTCCGTTTTCCGTGTCATCGCAGATCAGCATGCCCACCCGCTCGGCGATGCACGCGCTGCCCATGTTAACAATTTGCTGGCCGAAAATGTTAAATGATTCTTTAACATGACCACTTGTGGTTGTTCCAACCATCCTGTGGTGTTGGGTTTTCTGTTTGAAGAGACAGCGCCCCGCGTCTCCTTCCCACCCGCTGCCCCCTCCCCCCCCCCCCCCTCCTCCCATCCCTGCCTCTGCCAAACCAGCGCCCAGCACAGAGTTCCGTGGCCCCATGGAGAGTTCCCCAAAGGCCCCAGCGGTTGTGACCACATGCGCGCCGCGCCACCCAGTGCGGCGTTTCGTGGCCCCTTTGGGAGCCCCGCCGAAGGCCACAATGGTTGTGACCACCTGCGTGCCGCGCCACCGAGCACGGCGCTTCGTAGCCCCACAGGGATTCCCACCGCAGGCCCCATTGGTTGTGACCACTTGCGTGCCGCGCCACCCAGCACTGCGTTTTGTGGCCCCATCGGGAACCCCACCGAATGCGCCAGCGGTTGTGACCGCATGCTTTCTGAGCCACCCAGTACGGCGTTTCGGCGAACTCCACCGAAGTTGCCAGTGGTTGTGGTCACATGCGCCCCGCGCCGCGCCACCCTGTACGGCGTTTCGTGGCCCCGTAAAGAAACTGCATTGAAGGCCTCAGTGTTTGTGACCACATGCGTCCTGCGCCACCCAATACGGCGCTCCGCGGCCCCATCGGGAATCCACCGAGGGCCCCAGTGGTTGTGACCACCTGCGCCCCGCGCCACCCAGTACCGCGCTGCGTGGCCCCATACGGACTTCCACCGAATGGTCCAATGGTTGTGACCACATGCGCGCCGCGCCACACCATACGGCGTTTCGTGGCCCCATCGGGAACTCCACCGAATGCCCCACTTGTTGTGACCACATGCGTCCCGCGCCACCCAGTGCGGCGCTGCGTGGCCTATATAAGGGACCCCGCCGAAGGCCCCAGTAGTTGCGACCACACGCGCCCCGCGCCGCCCAATGCGGCGCTTCGTGGCCCCATAGGGACCTCTACCGAAGGCCCCAGTGGTTGTGACCACATACGTCTCGCGCCACTACGGCGCTTCGTGGCCCCATGGGGAGCCCCACCGAAGGCCCTAGTGGCTGTGACCACATGCGTCCCGCGCCACCTATTGCGGCGCTCCGTGGCCCCATATGTCAGCCCCACCGAATGCCCCAGTGGTTGTGACCACATGCGTGACGCGCCACGCAGTACGGCGTTTCGTGGCCCCAGAGGAAGCCCCACCGAATGCCCCAGTCGCTGTGTCTACATGCGTGCCGCGCCACCCAGTACGGCGTTTCGTGGCCCCATCGGGAACTCATCGAAGGCCTCAATGGTTGTGACCACATGCGTCCCGCGCCACTCAGCACGGCATTTCGTGGCACCAGAAGGGGGCTCCACCGAAAGCCTCAATGGTTGACATCACATGCGCCCTGCGCCACCCAGTACGGCGTTTCGTGGATCCATACGGGGCTCCACCGAAGGCCCCAGTGGTTGTGGTCGCATGCGTCCGCCCCGCCCAGTACAGCGCTTCGTGGCCCCATAGTTGGCTCCACCGAAGGCCGCTCTGGATGTCATTACACGCGTCTCCCCCTTCTAATTTGGGCACCCTCACGCGCTTCGTGGCCCAACAACAGCTCCACCGAAGGCCCCAGCGACGACGCTCGCGTGCGTCCCCCCCCGCCCATTTCGGTATACCCCTCACGCGCTTCGTGGCCCCATTGGGAGCCCCACCGAAGGCCCCAGGGGCGACGTTCGCATGGCGGCCCCGCTCAATTTCGGGCACACCCCATCGCACTTTTCGTGGCCCTGTATGGAGCGCCACCGAAGGCCCCAATGGCTGCGCCCGCATGCGCTTCCGGTCCACAACCTTTACACGCTTCGTGGACCCAGAAAGAGATCCACCGAATGCGACACCCACACCTGCGATACTCACAATTGCATATGGTTGGGCCCTTACGCCAGGATAATGTAAGGGGTCCATGATCGCGCAACCCTTGGAGGCAATTTCGAGCCATCTTGTGGCTGTCTTGTTGGGCCGCGTGGCCGTCTTGGGAATTCTAAGATCGTATGGGAGGAAATGTTGAGTCTCCCATGAGCTTTCATGCAGCCGTAATGAGCAATGTGACAAGCATCGAGATGAGCATCGAATGCGACATTTTTGAAATGCCTTATGTCATTTCATGCTCTCCCTCCCGTGGCGCCTCTCGGACCTCTCGGAGCATCTTGAGGCCTCTTGGGAGCATCTTGGGGTTTGCTTTGGATCGCTTGGCCGTCTTGGGCTGGTCTTGAGGTTCGTTGCGGCCATATTGGGGCGATCTTGGCCCGTCTTAGGGGTGCCAATTCCTAGGGGAGGGGGTTACAACGGGGCGGAGGTCGCCCTGAGAAGACCACAGAAATCTTACCAGCCAGCTAGTAGGCATTCAATCACGCCCCGACGTGGCATCGCGCCGAGAGCATGCTGGCGGATTATATGTGTGTTTCACTTGAGAAGTGGAAGACGGAATGGGCTGTGGATGGGAGCCCTTCACATGGCCAGAAGGGGGCGAGGTTGTCACCATTGGTGCAGTTATCAGCGCTTGTCAGAAAGGTCGGCAGCGGGCTGGGACGGGTGACAATATTGGCGAGGAAGTTGTACGTCGTGTGCGTGTATCGAAGACGCCTGGGGCGAGTCACCGCCGCTCCCTGCCTTCTGGAAGCGCCTGAGTCGTGAAATGACCAGTGAAAGTGCGGCCACGTTGGTGGATTGCGTGTTCCATCAGCCGTCGGGGAAACCACTGAAGGAACACTACATAAGATCCCTCCAGGGTCGTCTTGGGGCTGTTTGGGGGCCCTTGTCGGGCATTCTTGGGCCTTCCTGCGGCCAGCTTGGGCCATCTTGGGGCCCTCCTGGGCTGCCTGAGGAGCTCGTCGGCAGCGCAAAAGCGAGCAGACACAAACCATTCGTTTTCCTGTATTACGGATGCCTGAGGAATTGGACGGGTCCGCCGAGGTTTCGCCTGGTGCCCCATTGGTGGCTGGTAGGTGCGCGCCCCGTGCATTGGCTGGGTCCGCCGAAGTTTCGCTGCCCGTGGGTGCCACTGGGGTCCACGTGCGCTGGCTGGCCCTGCCTCTCATGGGTGTGCCAACCTTTACGTCTTGGAGCTGTTGAGCAAGTGATAGAGTTCCCAGGGGTAGATGCAAGGGTGGGCATGGAAACGCAGGGCATGTTCGAACGCTCGGGCAGCTCCATGATGACAACGTCTGCCACATGTCGGGGGCAGGTCAATCGCCGGCTACGGCTCTGGAGCTCCTCTCCTCCGCGCCGCGCGTCGCCGGCCAGATCAGCAGGCAGGCGTTCGGCGCCGCCGTGGCAGCCTGCGAGACGGTGGGCGTTGGCCAGAAGGATGAGAGGCTGCGAAAGTTTTTCAGGGGGGTAGCGCCGCCTTTGGATTCGGGGGCCACGCGTGTAGATTCGGATTCCTTGACCACGGGGGTCCACCGCAAGCGATCCTCAGACATTGTAACACACACACACACACACTGTAACACACACACACACACACACTGTAACACACACACACACACACACACACACACACACACACACACACACACACACGTATGTGCACGTATGCATACGACACGGAAGGCTTGACAATCGATCAGCGTTCTGTGTGAAGATGGTCGGCAGAGCAGCCCACTTACTTGGGAGACTCTTCGCACGCACAGGCTCCGCACACAACATGCAATCCGTGAGGCTGAGCCGCTGAAGATGGTTTCGGCCCCTTCCCTGCTGCCTCCTGCCTTTCCTCCCTCCAACTCCCTCCCCCCGCTCAGAGTCATCCGAACCAAGCATTGAAGGTCGGATTGTCCATGCCTTGTCCATCTGCCCTGGTGGAGGAAGAAATGATGACGGGACTGGGAGTGGTTGAAATGGGGCGAGGAGGAATGGCAGAATTGGAAGGGGAGGGGGAGGTTGAGAGACGAGAGATGGGACAGGGAGAGGAGAGCGGGGAGGGCAAGCTCAAGCTAGGTGCGCTCACGCCATATCTGATCTCGGAAAGAGCGCGCCCGTAGCGCCGGGAATACGAAAAGGGGGGCCCCAGCTTCAAGCTACCCCCCCCTCCCTCCCTTTCAGAAGGTGGGGGGGGGGCTTCCGAAGCTACCCCCCCTCCCTTCTGTAAGGGTTTCTGAGCTAGGGGGGCCCTGGCTAAAGGGGGGGGGGCTTCGAAGCTCCCCCCCCTCCCTTCCTTTTCCGGAGCAGAAGGTGAGCCCGGGCTTCCTTTTCAAAGGGGGGGGTTCGGAAGCTACCCCCCTCATCCCTTCCATTCTGGTTTGGACACAGAGGGGCCCCAGCTTCAAGCTACCTCCCTCCCCCCTCCCTTCCAAAAGGGGGGGGAGCTTCCGAAGCTACCCCCCATCCTCTAAGGGTTTCTAAGCTAGGGGGCCCTGGCTAAAGGGGGGGGAGGCTTCGAAGCTCCCCCCCCTCCCTCCTTTTCCGGAGCAGAAGGTGAGCCCGGGCTTCCCTTTCAAAGGGGAGGGGTGCTTCATAAGCTACCCCCCCTCTTTTTTTTGGTCTGGGCACAGGGGGGGCGGCTTCAAGCTATTCCCCTCCCCGCTCCTTTGCAAAGGGTGGGAGGAGCTTCCGAAGCTACGCCCCTACCCCCTTTCTTCCAGGGCTCTGGCAAAATTTCGGAATCCCTGACGACAGGTGCGCACCGCAGCGCTAGAGAACGCATTGGAGAATAACGTCGACCCCTGGTTCGTTTTCTTGTTTTCTTGTTTTCTCGGCCCCTGGTTCGTATTCTCGTTTTCTCGGGTCCTGATTCCTTTTATCATTTTCTCGTTTTCTCTGTCCATGGTTCGTTTTCTCGTGTTTTCGGCTCCTGGGTCGCGGTCTTGTTTTCTCTGACCCTGGTTCGTGTGTTTGTTTTCTGGTTCTCTCGGCGCCTGGGTCGTGGTCTTGTTTTCTCGGACCCTGGTTCGTTGTCTTGATTTCTCGTTTTTTCGGCCCCTGGGTCGTGGGCTTGTTTTCTCGGACGCTGGTTAGTATTATCGTTTTCTCAGTCCCTGGTTCGTTTTCTTGTTTTCTCGTGTTCTCGGCTCCGGGGTCGCGGTCTCGTTTTCTCTGACGCTGGTTCGTGTTTCCGTTTGCTCGTTTTCTCGGCCCCCGGGTGGTGGTCTCGTTTTCTCTGGCCTTGCTTCGTTTTCTCGTTTCCTCGTTTTCTCGGCTCTTGGGTCGTGGTCTCGTTTTATCGAGCCAAGCGTTTTCTGGTGATCTCGGCCCTGGGGTCGCGGTTTCCTCGGGCCCTGATTCGTTTTCTCGTTTTCTCGTTTTCTCGGCCCCTGGGTCGTGGTCTCGTTTTCTCTGGCCCTGATTCCTTATATCGTTTTCTCATTTTCTTGGCCCCTGGGTCGTGGTCTCGCTTTTTAGGAGCAATTTTCGCGTTTTCTCGGCCTGGGTCGTGGTCTCGTTTGCTCGGACTCTGGCTTGTTTTTTCCCTACCTAGGCTCTGCCTAGAAGGGTTCTTATTATTAGGCTTACAGTGCCGGGCAGTGGAACCCGCTCCGGGCGGTTCCCCCGGCATCCGCCCCGCGGTTCCCCCAGTTGCGCCCCCCTGGGTTCACCCAGCGAAGCTTAGCTAAGCTTAGCTTAGCTTAACTTATCTCATATTAGCTTAACTTATTTCATATTAGCTTAACTTATCTCATATTAGCTTATCTTAGATTAGCTTAGCTTTGCTTAGCCTAGCTTGGCTTAGCTTAGCTTATTTTAGTTTAGCTTATGTCATAGCAGCTTGCTTAGCTTAGCTTAGCTTAGCTTAGCTTAGCTTAGCTTAGCTTAGCTTAGCCTGTCCTAGCTTAGTTTAGCTTAGCTTAGCATAACTTAGATTACCTTAGCTTAACTTAGCGCAGCGCAGCATAGCGCAGCGCAGCATTAGCACAGCATAGCATAGCATAGCCAAGCATAGCATTACACAGCATATCATAGCTCAGCATAGCATAGCATAGCATAGCATAGCATAGCATGGCCCAAACAACCTTGCATATCATAGCATTGCTTAGCACAGCGCAGCATAGTATAGCATAGCATCGCATACCCTAGCCTAGCCTAGCCCAGCATAGCATTGCGCAGCATAACATAGCATATCATATCATTACATAGCAGAGCATAGCATAGCATATCATAGCATAACATAGCATAGCGCAACACAGCATCCACTATTGCTGCTGCTAATGTTGCTTTCCTAGAGGCTCCAACTCCCAGGTAGGGTCGCACTGGGATAATTAGTTTTCTCGTGTTCTCGGCCCCTGGGTCATTATCTCGTTCTCTCGGACCCTCTTTCATTGTTTCGTTTTCTCGGCTTCTGGGTTTCTGTTTCGTTTTCTCGGGCCCTGGTTCGTTTTCTCGTTTTCTCGTTGTCTCGTTTTCTCGGACCCTGGGTCGTGGTCTCGTTTTATCGGATCCTGGTTCGTTTTCGCGTTTTCTCTGCCCATGGGTCGTGGTCTCGTTTTCCCGGACCCTGGTTCGTTTTTTTTACCCTGGTTTGTTTTCTCGTGTTCTCGGCCCCTGGGCCGTGGTCTCATTTTTTGGGACCTGCTTCGTTTCCTCGTTTTCTCAGCCCCTGGGTCGTGGACTCGTTTTCTCTGACCCTGGGTCGTCGTCGTCGGTCGTCGGTCGCGCGTCGTCCGTCGTCCGTCGCCGTCTTCATGACCTCGTCCTCGTCGTGACGACCACGACGAGGTCATGCGAAGACGGCGACAATGACGGCGACGGCGGCGACAACGACGACGAGGACAACGACGGCGTCGCACGAAGACGTCGAGCGACGGCGACGGCAACGACGACGGCGACGGGGGAGGATCCTCCGGCAGAGGGAGTTCAGGGGAGGGAGGTTGTAGCTAAGCCGCCTTTCCTCAATTTGGAAAGGGGGTGTAGTTTCCTGCAGGGGAATGGGAAAATTGAGGAGGGGGGGGCTTCCACCAGCGGAAGGTCAAGGGAGGGAGGGATGTTGCTACGCTCCGCCTTCCCATTTCGTAAGGTGGGGGAGGGGGGGTGCTTCCCGGGTGCCGAAAGGGAGGGGGGGGCTGCTAAGTCCACCATTCGCTTTGGAAGTAAAGGGGGGCAGGGGGGGGAGCTTCCGGCAGAGGAGGTCAAGGGGAGGGGGGGGTAGCTAAGCCCCCCTTCTTCCCTTTTCGCAAGGATGGGAGGGGGGGGTAGCCCGGGTGCCGAAAGGGGGGAAGGGGGGGGGCTGCTAAGCCCCCCCCCCTGGAAGTAAAGGGGGAGGGGGGGGGAGCTTCCGGCAGAGGGGGGTCAAGAGAAGGGGGGGGTAGCGGGTAGCTAAACACCCCCCACCCTTTGCGTAAGGGGGGGAAGGGGGGGGGTAGCTTCCCGGGTGCCGAAAGGGGGGGGGGGGCTGTTAAGCCCCAACCAAAAGGGGGGGGTAGCTTCCGGCACAGGGGGGTCAAGGGGATAGGGGGGGTAGCTAGACCCTCCTTTCCCTTTGCGGAAAGGGGGGAGGGGGGGTAGGTTCCCAGGTGCTGAAAAGAGGGGGGGTGAATCATGTAAGACACGATAGGCGCGCAGGGAGTGTAGAGAGTCGGTCTCGTCTTTGCTATGTTTGTCTGTTGCGCATAGCGAACACAGTGCGTCGCCGTGACCGGTGAGCAAGAGAGTACAGACATCACATCTGCATTGACATTGGTAGCGGAGCCGTGGCTCCGAGAGTTGCGGCTTGGCGCGTAATGGCAGGATCCTCCGGAGCCCCCGCGCTGCGCACGGACATGGCCACCCCGACGTTGAACGGGAAGGCCGAGACGTTGGAGGACTACGCCTTTGCGGTGGAGCTGCTGACGCTGGGCTCATCCAAGGAGGTGAGGCCACTGCTGGGACCCAGGCTAGTGGCCGCGCTGCCGCAGGGGTCTGCCCAGCAGCGCTTCGCCCTTCGACTGCCTCGGGAAGCTGGCTTCGACATGGACGGAGCCCCGCTCGAGCCGAAGTCGATTGCCACAGTGGACGGCCCCAACAACCTGATAGAGGCTTTCAGGAGGGAGTTGGGGACGCAAGTGGTGTCCGACATTGGCGAGAAGACAGGCGCGTACTTCTACGCAGGCCTGGGTCGGAGCGCACTGACACGGCGTCTGGGACAGAGCATTGTACAGTGGATCGAGACGGAGGAGGAAGCCTACGACCAACTACAGCGGGCATACAAGCTGCTGGTGCCTGACGTGGGAGATATATTGCCCAGTGCCGTGCGGGGCGTCCTCCTCTGGCGCAAGAGCAATCTCGACCCCTCGGAGAGAGAGCCGTGGTGAGCAGCACCATCAAGGGAGATTGGAAGCTCGAGAATGTGAGGAGACGCCTGCGCGACGCGTGGGCTGAGA